GAGTTTGTCACCTTGTTGACTTCCCTGCTGCCTCGTACTCTTAGTGAAAATGAGTTTATTTGCGTCTAAAATAGGACATAATGAGTAATGTTTCTGATACTAGAGGGCTTAGCTGCCAGTGGCTGTTGTTAAGTTCAGTGTACAATGATTGTACAGATAAATGTTCTTTGCTCAGGTGAGGATTTAAAGGCAACTTAAAGCTCCATTAAGGCCGGAGATGGTGTATTTATGATAGATGTCACCCTCTGCAGAACTCTGTGACTGCTTAAGCAAGCAAAAATGATCTATGGCCAGATGTAATAGCTGAATACACTTGCACATTTCTATATTTTTCCCTCCAGGTGTACAAGCAGAAGATGAAGCACCTCCTGTGTGAACACCAGAACACGATCTCTGAGCTGAAAGCAGGTGTTTTAGTCTCCACCGAGATGATGCAGACGGAGCAGGAACAATTAGAGACGGAGCTTTGGAGGAAAAGGAAGGCCATCATGGTCGACATGCAGGAGCTCGACAATGACAGCCTTGTCAGGGAGCTTGAACTGGTTTGTAGTACACAAGCGTATGCTCATGTTTCTCTTTAGCCTCATATATTTCAACAAGTAAACATCAATAATACAAACACCCGCTTGGCCATTATCTCAACAGAAACATGATGAAGAAATGACAACAACCAGGAACAAGTGGGAAGAACAATACACGGGTAAATAACTCTCATTTTGAGTTGAATTCAACAACTCATGCTGTAAAAACCTAAACAAGAACCATCATTTTGTGTCACTGTTTGGGTAGAAATTACAGCCAAGCATGAGGAAAAGATGCTGCTGGTGCGACAGGAGCTGGAAGAGATGAGGAAAACTGCAGTGAGGAAGACGGAGCAGAAGTGGGACAACCACGTCACCGCTCTGAAGGAGGATCAGAACCAATTTTTCAATGCTGCTACACCGATTGTTGATCAAGTGCATCGGGATACAAATAAACTCTTTGAAGTCAAGGTATGAGTGCAGACACATTCAGCATCCTCGTTGAACTGACAGCGTTCAAGTTGTCGGCCTCCAGCTCATTACTGTCGATTGTTTGATTTTTTTCACTGTCAATCGATGAAATGTTTGATCTTCAAAATGATGAAAATGGACATCGCAGTTTTCCTAAGAATTCACTGATGTCTTTGAATTTCTTGTTTTTATTGATAGTGATTTGGATCTCCTGTTCAAAATACCACAAAACATAGAAAAGCCTTCAGATTTGAGATTTGGAGAACTTGTTGTCATATTTCTGTTGCTTAGCTATTCGGCGCAGAATTAGCTTTGATCCAGAGTGTTGTGTTTTGTTTTTTTTTTTCTCGTGGTGTGTTTCTTCAAGGGAGAAATGTCCAGCTTGATGAGGACATGGAAGTTGATGGAAAAGGACCTGGAGCTTATTTTACTGGACAACACGCGGCTCGCTAAGCTTATTTCAAAACTTGAGGAGGAAAACACTAAAATGGAGAAGAAAGTGAAATTCTACTTGCCAAAAAAGGTTACGTTGCTGCCCCTGTTTGTGATTTATTTTAAAGTTTATTGTTGCACCTGGAAGATTTACTGCATCCTGTGTATCATGTGTTGTGTTCCGTTGTTTTTGACAGGATCCCAGTCATCCCAATGAAAAAATCAGAAAGAAGGAACTGGAAAATTTGAGATGGGAACACGAGGTTCTGGGAGAGAAATTCACGAAGGTAAAAGCTAAGGCTGAGCCACACAGTGTCACGATGCTCAAATGTTGGCTGTTGTTGTTTCTGTTGTTGTGGGTATTTATGTGAATGTTTTTGTGCTCCTGTGCACAGCTTCAGCTGGAAAGGGACGAACTGCACAAGACGTTTCCTCAGAGGATTCAGAAGCTGCAGCATAAAGCAGATCAGGCGACCGTGCTGATGGAGGAGAAGCTGCAAGCCCTGACAGACAGCGTGGAAAACATGGAGGCTCAGCTCAGCTCGGTGCTTTCAGCCTCTAACGTGGACCAAACGGCCCTCAGCGGGATCATAAACAAAGTTGAGGTACAGTTGCCTTATCCAGCTCATGTTTCCTCTTCTGTAGTCATTTAAACCTTCAACTTCAAATTTATTATTTGTTCCCGAGGGGCGATTTGTTATGCAGCAGCGTACACAAACGATCACAATAAGCAAACAATGAAAACAGTAAAAAACACAGATTAAAGGAAATATATATTTTTTAAAAGTAAAGAAACACAAGAAAACCAGTTAAAAAATTACACAAAACATCAAACAGACATGAGCAGTGATCTTGGTCATTCATTCAGTCAGGTGTAAACAGTCAGCAGCAGCAGCAGCAGCAGCAGCAAGGCAGAATGAAGTAAAACAGGTTAAAGTGCAGCACAGTGTATGATAGAGTGCAGCAGCAATAACAGTGCATTACCTCCTCCTCTTCTCAGTGTTTATAGCTGGGATGGAGGTAGCCACAAAAGAGAACTTGCACCTCTTTTTTTTCTGGCCTGCCAGACGAAGGCCGGAGGGGAGCAACGTATACTCCGGATGAGTAGCATCCATAAGAATCAACTGAGCTTTCTTTTTGACTTGTGTATTAAAAATGTCTTCAAGACTATTAAAACCCACCCCAGCTACTTTAGAGGCTGCTTTTACTGTCCTCACGAGGGAGTTCCTATCCTTGTTGCCAAGGATAAGAAAAATGATCGACTGGATGAAGGAACAGTAGAAGAGCTTCATCAGGGTCCTGTCAGCCTGAAACTTGGCGAGCTTTCTCAGGCTAAATAATCGCTGCTGACCTTTTTTAACCAGCATTTCACAATCAAACTTCAGTTTACTGTCGATCACAGCACCCAGATATTTATCATCTTAATCAGTGATTTACTTTTTTTTCATAAGTAAATATCGTAAGCTGTCGTGTGTGTTTTATTCATGTTCAAAGACGTAAAAGAAACTGTCGTTGCTTGTAGGAAACTCTTATGTCCAGAAATACTGCCATCAAGGACTTACAGCACAAGAAAAATCTGAAGGTTAGTCGTTTGTTTACTTCAGGAAAACCCTGCCACACACACGTGTTTGTCAGCGATTGTATGAAACCAAGATGGTCAGTGTGTTTTTGTGGTGTTGTTCATACTTAAGTGAACAAATGTGTATCCTGCAGGCTCACAGGGATTTGCTGCTGACCACTGAAGCCAAGCAAAAGCCTCTCTGTGTTCCTGTGGAGGTGCTGCGTGTAAATCCATGAGAGCAGTCTTCTAGGAAAAGCAAGTCTGCAGCGGGATCTGTGTCTTGGGTGTACCCAAAATGAGAAGCATTAAATCTAAAGATATTTAAACATTTCATTCTTTTATTTACCTTTGATTCAAAAGTTGGTGTTCAGCAATAAAGAAGTATTAACATGACTTATTGTTTTCTGCTCATATTTATAACTACAAGAAACCAGTAGTTATGGGACGTCCTACTAAAATGTATGTCGTGCTTTTTATGCCCACCTCTTTACACATTTTTAATGGTATCTGAGCATCCTGTTATTCATCTTTTTTACCTCCACTTCTCCGCTCCTTCGTCTAAGTTTGCATTTACCTGAACATGAATATGTCCACAACCTGCATGAGGGTGACGACCTCTGTGACCTTTTGTGATGTTTCTGTTGCATAACAGCCATGACATTCTGCTTGCAGCTCTGTGAGGTTGTACATTTTCTTCATACATCGATGGCGCTACGGTACTTTTAAATGCATAACATCTTTATGTTAAGTAATATACAGTTTACTTATCATGGCCACCATCTTTGTTTTGTATGTTAGCACATTTAAGCCTCATATATTTATTTTCTTTGAAGACTCTGGCTATAAAAATCTATCTTGACTACTTTGGCTTTCCACTTTTTCTTGATATTGATTGTCTTTTTAAGGAAAGTTAGTGTGGGAGGTTTAAAGGGGGCTGCAAGGTGGTTTGGTGGTTAGGACTGTCGCCTCGCAGCTAGAAGGTTCGCGTCCTGGTGAGGACATCCAGGATCTTTCTGTGTGTTTCCGTGTTCTCTCTGGATTCTCTGGCTTCCTCCCACACAGTCCAAAAACATGTTGAGGTTAATTGGTGATTCTAAATTGTCCGTAGGTGTGAATGTGAGTGTGCTTGGTTGTCTGTCTCTAAGTGTAGCCCTGTGATAGACTGGTTACCTGTCCAGGTGAACCTGCCTTCACCCTGAGTCAGCTGGGATAGACTCCAGCCCCCCATGACCCTAGTGAGGATTAAGCGGTGTATAGATGATGGATGGATGGTTTAAAAGGGAAATCAGTTTTGCTGGAACAACTCGCAGACATCTGAAACATGAAAAGGAGCGCTACAGTGTTTTTCTTTTAATCATCTCAAAACAGTATATAAATGTTAACATTCAATAAATGGTTTGTAAATTAACTATTTGTACACATTTATACGGGAACATGTAAGTGTTTATTATTGTGTGTGACAGCAATTTGGACTTTTTATATTTTGCAATGATAATTGTTATTATGGTTTCACTCGTGGTTTATAGACAAACACTGATAGAAATGTTAATGCTGATAACTACATCCATACATCAAAACACTACATGCTAATAAGTTCTCATATTGTGTCCCTTTATAGCAAATTAATGACACATGTCCCCAGAATGTGTCTTTCAATTGTTCCACTGGAAAATGGTTTATTTTACCATGACTGTATAACACCTGTGTCAGCATCTGCAGCTTTAAATGCACCTGAGCTTGTCTCCACCCCCTTCAGGAAGAAGACTCTCTTTTTGTCAGCGTGGAGCCAATCAGTTGACTGTCAGCACTTTATAGCACTTGTAGCTTTCTCTCCACACAATCATTCGACAGATGACACGAGCTCACAGCACATCTGTTGTCATTAAATCTTGTGTGACGAGTTTGTCAGACGATGCTGCGGTTATAAAGTCAACAGTTTAGCAATGCAGAGCTGTGGGTTGGGAAGCATCTCTGTGGTGGCTGCTGGTTAACCTGATGTGTTAATGAGGTGTGTTTCGGTCACTGGTCCATAATCATTCCAACAACAACAACAACAACAACAAAAACATGTAAAAAAAACAAACAAACCAAAATACCAAAAAAAAACAAAAAACAGCTTTATTAAAAAATCAGCTATGTTAAAATGCAGTATGAGGAGCACAGAGGGCAAAAAGAAACAAAGAGTTGTGAACACCAGCTGACTTTAGGTTGTACTGAAGCACAACAGGTGACATAAAACACAGTTACCCACACAGTCATCGTTTAACAGTAAACTTTCCACCAAGCAGTTGACACAAATTTTTAGCTGGATGACCGATTTCCTTGTTTCTACACAGAAGGCTTGTAAAGCTAAGAGGATATCACATTTTCACAGCTTGTATTTTACACTTCCATGTTTTTTTAAAAGTATACAATGGGCATTTTTTGACCATATGGAACCTTAACTGCTCTATTTTGGGACCTTTTACACGAAAAACCTCCGCGTGAGAATAAACTATTATTAAATCTATATAACAACTGTGCAGTGGGTGGGAAGTACCCGATGACATCCAGCAGAAATACTCGAGTAAACCTCCTAGTTACACTTCAGTAGAGTACTTGAGCAAACGCGCCTGGTTCCTGATCCCGCTGTACGCGCGCGCATGGAAAAACAGGAAATTGAATAAACGCGGTGACGTCATTGGTGAGCGCCTCTGCTGGCCTTCGAGATGGGCTTGACTCCTTAGCCTTGATTTCTTCAATTGTCCCTCCGCATATCAACTTTTATTAAAGAAACGCCCGTTCGCGATGACATTTGGAGGTACGTTCACAGACCGAGACGAAGCGGAGGCATGAATGAGAGGCTTTCTGCGCGCTGCCATGTTAGTTGTGAGCAGATGTGAGTCGTGCAGGACTGAAGTCAGTTCATGTAGCTACATGTAGCTGTGTTAGCCGTGGAGCTAACTAGCCTGAACCTCTGGGCTGCTGCCCACTGATAAATTACAGCGATAACCAGATGGCTTTAATGTAACATTAGCTACAGTCTTAACCCGACTTCTACGTTTAGTGTCGGTGTCCGAGGTGTCACACTGTCACTCCTTTGTCTTGACTCCAAGTAGCTAGCTAACTTTAGCCAAGTCAGCCAGCAGCTAACGGTAAACATAGTTACTCTGAAGTGCAGCGGTAACAGGAAGAAAACTCTGACATGTAGCTTCATTTGTGCAGCAGATGTTTCTGTCTGCTGCTGTTTAGCGTTTTGTCTCAGGATGCATGTCTTCACAGTTTTTAGAGCAGATATGCTGAGAGAACCAGGAACCGTCCCACAGAGCAGCAGTAAAGAGGAATGAGCACTTCAGCTTGAATTCACGACAGTTGAGCTCATCTGCTTCCTTGAAGTTGTGCGAAAAGCGCACTTAGGCTAGCTAAAGCTTTATCTGTTTGTCTCAGTGGACTCAGGCTGGGTTTGAGTATTTCAATCAGTCTAAACTTCAAAGCATCTTCACCATCAATCTAAACACCTTCCTTGTGTATGTGAAGTGACCATAACTCCGTGTTTCTTCTTAATAACCGCATTTATTCCTGTTATGAGAATCTGCATAATTTGCACCTAACGTCTGGGTTATTTTAAACACACTCTTGTGCACATATCTGTAGCTGTACACAGAAATGAAACTCTGCATTTCATTCTGGAACCTGTTGCCTTTGTTTAAATGCATGCATGTTTTTTTGTGTGTGTGCAGGAAAGAAAGATACTGATGAAAAGTTCTTGACTTGATGTAGTTTGAGTGAAAGTTAGACCAAACTGAGAGCATCTATAGAACAGAGACTCCTACTCTTGCTAAGAACTGTGCTATAATGCTGCTCTGGCATTGCATATCGATTATGTAGTGCAGCATAACAAGTTTTTAAAAAGCAGCAGCGAGTCACACTTCCTCATTAATACTGTTTAATGTGGTGTTTTTTTTAGTTTCACATTTTTTTTGGACATTTGTAAAGAAATGATGGGTAAATATTTCTGGGCAGAACATCACAGTTATATCTCAAGAGGAAGAGAGGTTCATTTTGGGACAGTCTGATGGCTAATTTTTGCTGCTGTAAAAAAACTTTGTCGAAGAGACCATTGACAACAGCGTTCTGTCAGCTTAAGTGCTTTCTGTCCATGGTTCTGGGTAGCTTAAGCACGCAATGCCGGACCACTCTGTAGCATTGAATGGTCTGGCTGCACCTCATTGTCATTCTGAAATTTTGTTTTCATCTGACATGCATATTAATAGTTTAGCCAGTGATGTGATGAGGCCGTATGTCTTTCTGTTTGCTTCTTTTTTTCAGGTGAATTGGCAGATGAGGTCAGCCAGGTGATTTCAGAACTGGTTCCTGTGCGGGCTGACCGGCTTGCAAGTTTCAGTTCCTGTGCAGTACAGTAAAGCAGAGTGCTTTGGTCAGAGGATTGCAATGAAACCAGCTCAGGAGCGCAACCAGGAGTGCCTGCCTCCAAAGAAGAGGGACCTTCCAATTAGTAACAGCAGTGGAGCTGGAGGGACAGCGGGAAGTGGGGCCGCAGCAGGAGGTGGGGGGATTGCTGGTGGCAGTGCTGGTGGCTGTGTTGGAGAAGATGAAGTGGTTTCCATCCAGAACTCTGCACCCAACAGTGACACTCAGGGAGGAGCCCCATCTGGAGAGTGGCTGCGAGCTCAACCAGGGCTTCACTATGGAGTGGAAAATTCAGACGGCATACCAGCAGTGCCCGTTGACCAGTACAGTATGCTCTACAAAGTGGCCCTTCCATCTGTTACCTACGCACCTACCAGTCTTCACCCAGTGTTAAGCCACATCTCTCCAGCCTACACGGTTCACTCTCCTCTCCTGCAGCATCCAGGCCTTCCCTATCCTCCTCTTGGTTATGCACAGATCCCTCATTCCTCTCTCCAGTTTGTTAGCTCCCCTTATGCAGCGGTACCGTACGCTCTACCCCCTGGCTTTGTCCCGGGATCATTAATCTCTCCCTCAGGCACCATCCCTCAGCCTCATGCTGTGTCCCACCTGGTTCCCTATCCATCTGTCATACAGGAGGGCGTTGTCTCCCCTCCTCCCCAGGCCCAGGTAGCTGCTCATACCTTTGCCAAAGTTGCAGCCTCAAGTGGTGTCCCGCTGATGCTGCCTTCAGAGCAAGCTGCCCAGCAGCACCTTGGTACTGTTGGAGTCCTGCCTGCAGCAGAGCTCAGCTCTCGAGGGATGCCAGTCTTCTACCATCCTCAGGGTGCCAGGGCCACTGCCACCAGAGACTGTCACAGTTCCCAGCAGGAGAACGAACCAGAGATGAATGGAGGGGATAAAGAGCAGGGAGCCAGAGAGGTTGTACCAGAATCTGCCTACACTGCCAGAAATACACGTCTGCCGCAGGTAGCATCCATCTCTGCAGCACAGGAACATAGCCAAGACAAAGTCCTGCACAGCCGAAGGCTAGAAGAGAGAGGCTCACCTGGTCAGCGCAGCACTCCAGACAGCGACCTGGAGGTAAGACACACTGATGGCTTCCTGATTTTAATCTGTGTTATTGTAGCAATAAACTGGTGATATAAACATCCACGTTAATGCAAACCAGTGTTACGTGTAAGGGTGTTGGGAACATCTTTCATTAGCCACCTACGGCCCAGGTGGCAGCTAATATTTGATGTTTGTTCTCCCTTTTTATTCCTCTTGAGTCATGAAATGTGTCCAATGGACAGTGATGGGTAGATGAGGCCTCATGAAGCTTTGTGGCACATGACCCAACCTGTACTGATACTGTGTCAATACTGTCACTGTGTTGCTCAATACTGACACCTGCTGGATCGTATAAATCCTGACAGGCAACCTCATTGACAGGCTCCACTGACATACTGATTGATTGACCTAGTACAGGGGTGTCCAGTCCTGGTCCTCAAGGGCCACAGTCCTGCATGTTTTAGATGTGTCCCTCGTCCAACACACCGGATTCAAATGATCAGGATCGTTATCAGGCTTCTGCAGAGCTTGATGATGAGCTGATCATTTGAATCAACAGGGAAACATCTAAAACATGCAGGACCGTGGCCCTCGAGGACCAGGATTGGACACCCCTGACCTAGTATATACAGTCATATAATGTAAGGTATTTTATTTTATATTGTATTATTTTAGATCTTAATTTAGCTTAAAACATATTTGATAACTTTAAAATATGCAGTCAATAAATAATGTGAACATTTGGCATAACATGTGAAAATCAAAGTGGAAGTGTTGTGGATGTGAGGATGCTGATGTACTTGTCTTTGAGGCACGGATGGGATTTTTCTTTTATATATATACATTTTTATTCAAAAAATCAGTTGTTCCAATATCTTGGCATTAAGACTATTATGTTTTATTTTTTTAAATACAAGTTCTCCAGGAACAGGATTAAACAACAAGGTAATAAAAACCTTATTTGCCAAAAAAAGATCAAAATGGTCCCACACTGCGGGAACCTTTCTTTTTCTTTCGGGCACCATAAGGGCTTTGAATTGTGCTCAAAAGATCTGTGATTCAACTGGTACAAAGAAAATCATTTAAATGCATTCAAACACCACAAACCTGTCAGTCGGTCTGCTTTATGGTTACACGTCTACAGTATGTCTGATTCCTGTTTCTACAACTTCTCACCTCAGTGGGTAGAACTCAATAATGGGTTAATTTTAGACTCCACTTCCTTCCTTTATTGTGTGCGCTGTGGCTCTGTAGGTAATTGAGCAATCACTCACAGCCAAAAAGTGGCCACTTTGTGCCAATAGAGCGCCTTTTGTGGTCGCACGGAGACGCCGATTGAACCTATTTTGTGATGGCTTGCAGAGGAATTAAGCTTTTTGATTCTTTAATAAATAGATTAGTTTTAGAATCAGCATTACTCATTTAAATCGACAATTTCGCTGTCAAATTAGGAAGTCCCGGCAAATTCTGTCACGTCTCCCGTTCCTGATGTCGATATAAAAAAACCAAACAACAGTATTTTGTGCTTTCTGTTCGTAGTGCATACATCAGTGAAAAGTGTGAGAGAGAGTGAAGGTTTAAGAGATTCATGTTTTTACTGAGCCACGCAGATGTTTTGTGTTTGCATTCTGTCATTCAGGCTGCTCTGTAATTCAAAAGTTGTCAAGGTAACACTTGAATCCTTTCTTCGACCTCCAGGTGCAGCAGGTGGTTGGCCGTTTGGCTTCCTCTAGCCAAGGAGGAAGTGGAGTGCGGAAAGAAGTCTCCTTTGCTCCCTTGAACCTCTCTCAGGGCGGCCAGAGAGCCAGAGATGTCCACGGAGAGAGCAAAGGTGTCATTTCTGCCCGGACTGGGTACACGGCCCAGCCAGCGAGTTACAGTGATCACAGAGTGGCCGGTTTGCCGCAGCAGACGGGACAACCCGGCCATGCAGTCATGCTGGCCAACGGACAACCGGTTCTTATCCCGCTGGAGTATCACCCGCACCAAGCGCCACAGCAACACTACCCAGGACAGGCTAACGATGCCTCAGCCAGCCATGCTTCTGCCACCATGGCCTCCTCGAGCTCAAGCTTTAAAGCCTCTGATTCTTTAGCCAGAGTGTGCCTCCCCGAAAGGGCGGAGCCAACCACAGCTCAGCAGCAGCAGCTTCCCCTGCAGCCTCCGGTCCAGCCTACAGCAGAGATGACTCAGGCCTTAGCTTCAAGCCTCGCTCCTGCCTCGGCTCCCTGCAACCCGTCGCACTTCATGAAGGGGGCAATTATTCAGCTGGCAACTGGAGAGCTGAAGCGTGTGGAGGACTTGCAGACTCAGGATTTTGTGCGCAGTGCCGAGGTGAGCGGGGGGCTAAAGATCGACTCCAGCCTGGTGATGGACATCCGTCCCAGCCAGCAGAGACCAGGTCTAGTGTCGCTTCACTTTACTGTGGGAGAGCAGCAGAGCAAAGTGACCATAGATGTGCCCCCGGAGCACCCGTTTTTTGTATTTGGCCAGGGATGGTCGTCGTGCAGCCCTGAACGCACGGCACAGCTTTACGGCTTGGCCTGCCATCATCTACAGGTTGGAGACATGTGTGTGTCCATCACCCTGCAGCAGCAACTTCAGCCACAGCAGCAGAAACAACCGCAGCACCATCATTCACAGCAGCAACAACAACAGCAAAACCTGTCCAGGACTTTGAGTAAAACCAATGCGACTGGACCTGGTCACCAGCTCATGGGGCCTCCTGCTCCTCAGCAGTCACGGCCTCAGTCTCATTTCAGAATGGACCGCATCCACAGAGAAAGACAGAGGGATGGAGAGAAAGAGGTGGTGGATAAGGAGGAAGCCACACATCTGGGGGCTGTTGGGCACACCGAGTTGCCCATCCGACCCAGTAGGACCTCGGCAGAGCATCCAAGAAGCCAGAGCAGTTATCACTTGCACACAGAGGGCTCTGCTTTTGCAGAAGCAGGCATAGGAGCGATGCAGGCAGCACTAGGTGCCTCTCAGAGGCGGTGGTCCTCACCTGGCCTCCAAAGATACAGTATGAAGGGAGACGAAGGGCCACGCCCTCAGATAATCACCTCCGGCCACACAAGGCCTTCTTTCATCCCCCAGGAGGTCAAACTGTCCATTGAGGGGCGCTCTAATGCAGGGAAGTAGCATCACATCTGGTAGCAACTATAGAAGAGACTGCCACGAGTAAGAATGAGTCTGACAAGGAGAGAAAGAGGAAAAAAAAAAAAAGTGCGAATGTAGCCTCAGAATGTTTGAGATTTTGCACACCTGAAATATACAAAAATACAAGATTGATGTCTATCTGGTGAGAAGTTCTGGTTTGGTTTTCACTCAGCCAAAGGATACCAGGCTTTGGGTTCCCAGCCAGCTGAGGTCTGACAGGGACGGGAAGAGCTGAGTCGAAAGTATGTAGCTGATGAAATGCCTACCATAGTCCTTACACACTGCATTTCTCTTCCTCCCTCCCTCCTATTGTCTCCACTTCCTCATATAACCATACTAGGAGGTCACCATCACATTCACTCTCGCATTCTAGCTTCTTTTTGACCAAACAGTCTCTTTGGAAGACCACAGACTACAAAAAAATGTGTGTGTAGCACATTAAAGCTACCAACTCTGCAGGTTCTGATGTATTCAAAAGATCACAGCCAGTGATCTCGTATCTCCTCCACCTCTAAGATCCTGTTTCCCTCAAAAGCATTTACCCAAAAAAGAATGGAGTTGCTGACATCAGCAGCTCCCGTGGTGATGTTGGCACTGTTGACGCTGTCAGTGTACGTTACATTATGCCTCTCCAGCAGGAGTCTGAAAACCTTCGCCGTCAGCAGAGACGCTCTTCCCCCCCTGCAGTAGGTCGACCTGCAAAGATTGGGATCCTCTCTCAGGCCAAGTGTGGAATATCCCGCTTGTCTTACAATCAAGTTAGTGACAAATCAATCAGTTTGTCTGTTCAGCAATCACATTCATTACACGCCCTCTAGTTCAGGCTCAGGGGCCCTAACGTACGTGGGTGCATTTGCATAAACGGCGACGGTTGGAATCATGTCTTGTTCTCAGTGGTAACGGATGTCTTGCACTCCAGTGTCATCAGTGAGACTATCATGTAGAGTTTTTCATTTCCTCCCTGCTCGCTGTACCTCAGAGCTTTCCCGACCCGACAGTTTTAATGCAATTTTTAAACAGCGCCATTAATGGAGGAGGCACTGGCTGGATTTCACCAAAGCCGAGACATTTCCCCGCCACATCGCTGGCCGCACTGCCACACGAACCCCCCCAGAGCTCAGAGCGGGATGATCTTGTCGTTTGCCTTGTAGAGAACGTCTGTGTGTGAGTGAAGCAGCGACGAAGCGTTCTAAACTAGTCGTCGCTCACGTACCAAATTGAAGCAATAGTTGTTTTTCCAGCACGTGGCTTTACCGCCCTGTGCTCCCCGTGGGCCGTAGAGCATCTCTGAGGTGCTGCGATCTCACCCTCTCGCCCTGTTTTTGACCCAACTCTTAAGGTGATGCACTATTTTGGTGTTTTTTTTAATTTAATCGTTCTGCATGAAAGAAGCAAGCCATTGTAGATGAACTTCCTGTCGGTCTCCATCTCACTGATGATATTTAATCTCGTATGGATTTACTGAAGTGCATCTCCAACAGAGGCCTGACTCTAATTAAGTTGTGACCATTTATCAAGTTAGTTTGATCTTTTCACAGTATACAGTCTTTTGCTTTTGTACAGGGGTTTCCTTTATCCAGCGGATCTTAAGATTGTCTTGTGTTGCACATCGCAGAAGTCGCCCACAGATTTCACACTGACCTTGAAATAGGAATCACAGTACACTAGATGTGTTTTTTTCTCTTTTTTTTTTTTTAAATGAAGGGAATACGTTTGAAGTCGTCGGTGTTTTGTGGCGAAAGAAAAAAAAAAACTGACTCGCATTTCTAACTCTGTTTACAAATTAGCCAAGACGAATGCTGCAGTTTCTTCCTTCTCACGTATTTTTTTTCACCTTTTGTCACTGAAAAGAAAAAAAAATAAAAAGGGTGAAATTAAAAATAAGTGCAATTAGATCACACGTGAAATCATTCAGAGGTTAATCGGACGACATTCCTTATGCAGACATTCCCATCAGAAGTCACACGATACCAGATTTCTTTTTGTTTTTTTTGTTTTTCCTGCCGTGGACTTACCTCTGGCTAAACTTTGGATCGCTTTTGAATATTTGGTGCATTTTTCTGTTGTGTCTCCTCTGGCTGGATGTGCTCGGACAGGCACACCAGTCGGTCGTCTGATTGACGCGTCGGTCCTGTAAACCTCTGAACCACCATCAGGGACAGACGCTGTTGTGTTTGTCCCTGAAGGCGTCGCGGTTCATCGAGTACACAGCCTGACCTTCTGTGAGCAGGTAGAGAGGCCATGAGCCCGGACTGTCATCCTCCTCTCTCACAGCTTTAACGAACAGGTTCACATTTTTCAAAGCCTTTAAACAACTCTCCTGTGCACATGCAGAACAACAACGACTCTTCCTGTCCACGGCGGCTGTACAGAGATTCCTTCTTGATGCTTAAGAGATGCGCGACAAAATCCGCAGCGATGCATAATTCAGGAGACGCAACTAGACAATTCAGCTGTGCATCTCTCAGAGTTGTAGTTATTGTTAATTCATTAAACGGTTTGATCCTCCCCCTGCAGCTCAACATCAAAACACCGCAACCTCAGATTGTCGAAGCCTCATTTTAGCTTCAGCTCAAGTTTAAAATGTGGATTTTTGTTCCCCTTCGGAGGAATCTCTTTGGGGCCGGTGTGGACAGGAGAAACTCTGACACTTTAAACCTCTTTGCAGCCACCAGGACCCGTTGAAGCTGCTGCAAAATAGATTAGCATTGTGCATAAAGGTATAAATGTTTAAAGGGTCGCCACAAAGGGTTAGATCTGTAAGATTCTCCACAATTCAAGTCCTCGTTTAAAGGAAGTAGTCTGAAATTTGACGCAGGTGTGGTTGACAAATTGTAGAAAACGTAGTGATTTCTTGCATAAAGCATGGAGCTAATTATTCATATTCAAGTGGAGTATATCATATAAATCCAATCTAGTTTGAACCGATGTTGTATTTTAGCCACAACAAGCCCAATTTCAGAAACTAGAGGATGCCTAAACAAAGCCTCACACATTTGCACTTCATAGTTCTTCTAGTACAATCAACTCTGTTAAAATTATTGTGAGTAAATCCCATGAGAAGTTGTGGATGTTAAGAGGTCAGGAACTGTTTCGGTGTGCACGTGGATTTGTTGGTACTGTATGAAGTCAGGCTTGGAAAAATGTGAGCCTACAACACATCTTACCACCAGACCGTCAGCGTTTCGTTTTTCTTCTCCCACGCTGTAAGCAATATACATAACAGCTGACCACATTTCACGTAGTCTTGGCATGTTCTATGCAGTAAACTCAGTGTTGTACCCTCCGTTGTCTTAAGCGCAGCTCTCTGAAGCAGCAGGGCAGGTCGGCTGGTGCTGACGTCTGCTTGTAGGATTTGCTTTAAATTTCCCTTTTCATAGGAATTCAAAGCAGTATTTCTTTTTTGTTTGTTTGCTTTGCGCTCGGTGATCCGTATCTAAGTATAGCACAGCGCCGAGTGACAGATCAGGAAACTTTGGTTGTTTTCTTACGATGATGCCACACAGTCGAAGCCAAATCACTCGAGACGAGCAAATTGTGTTTGTCCATCTTTAGGTCAAGATGCACTCGATGGGATTGAAACGGTGCAAGCAGTGCCACCTGTGACTTTACCTCCTGTTGATTCTCACAGCGAGACCATCCCGTGCTGCGTTTTTGTTTTTTTGTTTTCCCCGTTCATGTCCTCTGCTTTGAGAAGCGTTTAGCAGGAAAAGTTTTACCAAGATGTCTGATCAGTTTTTATCCACATCACTGATAGTCTGTTGCTGTAAGTAATTGCACTAAATGCCCTCCTTTACAGTGTTTTTAAAAATGAAATCTGTTGGTAAATTGAAGCGTTTCGAAATGTAAAGCACACGAAATCATGGAGAAATCACAGGTTGTGTGTTTCTGTAGATAGATGTTTTTTTCTTTTTGTACAGATAGCTTTGATGATGCTTGTTGATAATGCCTTAAATTCCGCTTTGTACAATGTGTGAAACTGAGATAATGGAGTAATGCTTCTGGTGGACTCGGTGTTCCCTTTTCAGGCTGCACGAGGGCAGATCAGAGAACGTCAAGCCTCGACACTCACTGATATTCATATTTAGACGTCTCAGAGGGTGTCAGTGGATTCTCTTTGGGCTCCAGGACGGTTTAACAGTGAAATCTACAACTTCTTATTTGTTTACTGTTTTTTTTTTTTTTTACCCAGTTTTCTGTTCCGTTACATTTTTAATACATTCTTTATACTTAACATTTAATTCCTGTTTTTCTTTTTTTTTTCGATATATGGAAATAAATGGAAGCTCTCCTCTGCACTTTTTTTTTAAACCAGCGGACGGCGCTCCATCGATTCCACACATGACAAACAGATCTATTGGTTTCTATTGTTGTTGCACAAGATCTGTAGGTTGTTGTTTTAAAAAAATATCCCTAGAATTAATGGATTGTGTTTGGCATCTCCGTCAAAGAGTCTCCGGACGACAGAAGTTTGACTAAACGGAGACGGACAGGACGCACAAACCCGATAGCTTTTCCACTGTTGTGATGGTTTGTTCTGTTTCGTGACGTCGCTAGCGGGGACTTTTGCGTGAACTACTTCCCCCTTGATCCCGTATCGAAGGTGAATTGAGGACGGTTTCGGTGTTGCTGAATTAAATCAGGAGAATGGTTAAAAGTTTTAAAAAGAAGTCTGTGTATTTTCAGATTTGACATTGTACTTTTTATTTTTCGCACAAGGTGACACTGCTTTTCATGTGACGTGTAACTTATCTAAAAAAACAAAAACAAAAAACAGCATCTTTTTTTTTTTTAAATGCCTAAATCTGCAAAATATATGCAATTATGTAAATGTAACATTCAATCCTCAAGTATAATCCAGGTTGTATGAACTTTGTATAGTGAGTTTTAATATCGTATGGCCGTACCAATATGTATTGATCTTTATCAGAAGCCTTAGAGTTGTCGACCCAAAGTGCTCCCTTAGAATACCCTACACCTACCTGACTTTAACAAAGCATTAATATCTCTATTTTGTTGCATTTTTATTTGTACCCTTTTTGAATAAAATAGATTTGTACTGTATATTTGTACCTCTCTGTGAACTACTTAGGGCGGTTTTCTTTTTTTTTGTTTTTGTTTGTTTTGCTGTTTTAATTCTATGTACTTTAAGGACACAAAGATATTGTATTTTTATTGTTACAGCTAACTTGGAGACATTGCATTTATCATGTTTGTTAAGTAAACACAATATAATATAT